TCAGCTGGGAGGAGGTGTGTCAGCCTGTGATGTCACAGGCTCTCTATGGGACCACAGGCATTGTGTTCTGTAGGCCCCAAGGCAAGGAGCAAGAAGGCAACCGGACTGCACTAACATGAATCTGCGGTTACCATGGTCAGTAAGAAACAGGAAGGCATGGATTAAATGGAGGACTGGCAGGATCTAAGTGTAATAAGTCAAGGTTTTCCAACATCTTAAAAATATAATCTTGCATTTTATCCAATGTTGAGGACAGGCAGATCCATTGCTAAATTCATGATTTTACATTTATATACTTTAATAGGCCTAACACCAGCTAATTTAGCAAGGAAAACCAAGCAAACATACACAGAAATTGTATTCAGTTTCCTCATTTTATATTTGATAAAATGAGGGAGATAGGAATCACAGTCGCTGATATGTTTCAGGCACACCTGGCTTGATTTGTAGCAGCAAAACAAAGAACACATTCATGTTAAATAGCAAACCCAAGACAAGTCGTGTCCACCTCTTGCTTTCACATCACATGATGTATAATAGATGTGGTTCAGAAATGTATTAAACTGTAGTAAATCTATTAAAAACAATTCATTGTTTTAAAACTCACAGAAGACATACAGTATAGTACACATTATACATGTTTTTAGGTTTTAAAAACTTTTTTTCTATTTACCAGTAGCCTGTTGAATTTTGGTACTATGTCTATGAATAGTTCACCTGTCACCAATTTAATATTCCTGATACCTGCATTGTAACATGTTTCATGACTTATGTAGATAGATTTGCTATGTTTTACTATACACCCCTGCGTTCCATCTATTATGTCAATTTCTGCAGAAATAGGATATGGGCACAGAAGAAAATTGCTATTTATCACTTTTTTCTGCCAAGATTAAGGCTGATAAGCATGAAGCAGTTATGTGATTTCTATCTCGCTGGGTTTCTCAAATACAGAACAAACACTGATTGTAGTTTCTGTGCATCTTTTAAAGATACAGCTACATCATGGATTGTATGGATAGCCCCATCTTACTGTGATAATCAGCTCGCATTTATTACATTGTTTGGAAGGAGCTGCTATCTTGTACACTTGGCATGTAGGTATGGGAGAGCCTCTACTCTTTTTGCATTTAAAATTCATGGTTTGCCATTTATAAAAATTTTTTTTTAGTAATTAAATAGAAATGTGCATAGCCCAGTATCCTATAGCAACCTCTACATCAGCCTTATTTCAAAATCCGTAAACTATCTCTAGGCAAAACCTTTTCTTTCTAGTTTTGGATAGGGTGGGCAAGGGTTAGGCCTTCTGTCAATTTGGCTGTTTGAGTCCCCATTGAGGAGATTTACCTACAGGCAGTCCCCTGGTTACATACAAGATAGGGACTTTAGGTTTGTACTTAAGTTGACTTTGTATGCAAGTCGGAACAGGTACATTTTTAAAGTGTAACTCCGCCAAAAAAAAAACATTTTTTAGTTTTGGATAGCATAGGGAAGGGCCACGTTTTTGTTTTGCTGTCAGTTCCTGTTATTCAGAAGATTATAATATAATAAAAACATTTTTTTTTTTAAAGGACACACACAAAAAAGTTTTTTATTTTTATTTTATAAATTAAATTTTTTTTATTTGTTTGCATTTTCTATTTGTATTCATTTAACTTTAAAAAAAAAACTTTTTTGGTCTTTTTAATTTAATTTTTATGCTGTGAGCAATAGCCAGCCTGCTATTGGATATATCAAATTGCAATAGCAGGACAGCTATTGCATCTGCCCACTGCCAATCAGGAGAGGAGGGGCCTGAAGGAGAAAGTTCTCTATCAGGTCCCCCATGCTGATTGACAGCAGGCGGGTGCAGTAGCCAGCTTGCTATTGGCTATTGCATTTTACAATATCCAATAGCAGGCTGGGTATGGCTCCCAGCCTGCAATGAAGAGGAGGCAGGGGGGTTGGGCAGAGAAGCCGCGGCCGGACCATGAGAGCGGAGATTGTCCGGACCGGGGAAGCCAACGGATCGGCGGAAGAGGAGGCCGGCACATCAGCGGAGGTACGTGGGGCAGCGGCGGTATGCAGCGGTCTGTGTCCTCGCTGCCTCCGCCAACACAGGCGGGGGGAGCAGCGGGGATTTGAAGGGACACAGGCCGCTGCAGCCACAGTTCTCCTAAATGTCCGTAAGTCGGACGTCCGTAACCCGGGGACTGCCTGTATTTGTCCAGTTAACTATTGTCACCGAGAAAGAAAGTGAGTGGAAATCAAAAATTTTAGAGCTGCCACCAGAACAAGAGGTGAGGGGAAACCTTTCAATGGCACCTGTTCCGAGACAACTGAGAGGGGAATTCCCCTTACTTTGAGAGACTTCCTGATCTCTGTAACAGCAAGTAAATACCCCTAATGGTACATAGACAGCAAAAATAACTACAGGGATTTTATTCATTCCCTGCTCTATTTACTCTAAAGGCTATACATACAATGAAGGTGCTTATTACTGGGTGTAGTAACCTTTTTTTTTAGTTTCAAAACATTTTTATTTTTCAGTAAAGTATTGGTTAAACGGAGCACTATCACGAACATCGTGAACGTGCAAATACAGTAATGTAGACATTGGCATTGCTATCAACATATGACAGTACAACATAAGTGGCATACTTATAGCAATCACCTATCTGTACAGGGGAAGGCGGGGAAACGGTTTTGGTGGGGGTCCCACCATTGCGGTCAGAGCAGACCAGGAAAGAAAAAGATCAGAGGAGAAGCGTAACAGTGAGAGAGGAGGGTACAGTGGGGAAGGGTGGGGGGACTAGGGTGGTTTGACGCTTGGTCCAGAACATCCGCGAGTCGGCCGTATGGTTAGAGGGGGGGGAGATCATAGGGTGAGTAAGCATGTGTCAAAGGTCGGTGGCAAGAAGTGTCTTATCCAGGGCTCCCATAACTTTTCAAACTTCGGCATTTGATCGTCTAGGCGTGCGGAAAGTTTCCCGTGGGAGAAGATCCAATGGATTTTGTTTTTAGCGGCTTGGAAGGAGACCTTGTTGGTAAGCCAGGAACTGGCAATAGTGAGTTTGGCGGCTGAAAGGACATGTAGCATCAATTTGAATTTGCGAAATGGAATGTGCATGGGCTTGGTGTTGAGTAATGCTATTTGCAGGGAGGGGGGTATAGGGGTGCCCATAAGAGTTGACAACATTTTGAAGATTTTTGACCAGAACGCTGGAGGACGGAACATGACCACCATATATGCATATAAGTGCCACTGGCAGAGCAGCCGCGGAAGCAAGTGCCCTCGCAATTCAGCACAAAGTGTTGGGCCTGTGAGGGGGTAATATACCAGTGGAGTAGTAGTTTATAATTGGTCTCAAGTATTCTGGCGCTCTTGAAGCAGTTATTGGTGGATGTCCATATCTGGGACCAGGTGTCTCAGTGGACGCGTGGTATTTAGCTACAGTAGCTAATTGGGCTGCATAGTAATATTTTTGAATGTGTGGTACACCTAGACCGCCAGAGCGTCTACTCTGATACGGGTGTAGTAACCTTTAGCAACCAATCAGAAATTAACTTGTACTGGTCTAACTTTAGCAAAGGGAATCAGCACTGCATGCAAGTACAAAAGCAAAACTGTCTTTGACACAAAAAAAAAAATATCCCAGTAATAGTTGCCTTCAAAAGAAGAGTTATTATACTTGCCTTTCTAGTGGACCATGCCACCTACCGTTGCTCTGTTAAAGCATTACAGTCTCTGTCAGAATCTTTAGCATTCAACATTTTTGGGGCATGTCAGTGTCCCCATCATTCACTATAGTTCCACCCTCAGACCCAATCCTTTATTGAATAAAGCCAAATGAGCAATTGTATATGCTATTCTGACTGAAATCAGGGAATTATTAGCCATTTTAGGCTTAAAGGAGAATTATGGGGAGAGTGAAGTACACTCATCTCCATAATTAGAACCGAGGTGCGACACTGCAGTGATCACACATTGGCTCTACAGATCATGAACTGAGTGATCACATACCACTGATCTCTCAGTTCCTGACCTTCTCCCTGCAGAGAGCACTGGCTGAGTCATTGCTCCCCATAGGGATTTCCCCCTCCCCTCTCCGTTCCTCCAGCACTGACTAGAGGGACAGACGGGGAGGGGGCGGACACAGCAGGCTCTGCATTTAGAGAGGCAGAGCCAGCTTTCATTAAGGTGGCGGGGTGGATCTGGACAGTATTGTTGGGACCTCTCCCAGCCGCAGCGCAATAGCTCGCTGTATGCCGAGTTATGGGTCACAGGAGGAGATTGTAAAAACTTCTTTTAAATCACAAAGCTTTAACACTAGCCCACTTTGTTTTCATCCATGTAAGTGTGATTTTCCAAATTTCATTGGACTTCACTGAAAATAACCGTTCCTTTTTTTTTTTTTTAAAGGGGTATATTTATCCTGGTATGTTAGCTTGTGAATTGAGCCTTATGAGATATCACACTTTGCATATCATTACTGTTCTCTGAATAGCCTTGTTACATTAGATTTGCAATGATATCTGTCACAAAGAGTAATAAGCCAATATTATGGCTGCATCTGTAGTCTATAAGACTGGGTATGAAGTGTGGGGTGGGCAATGGAAGGGTTAGTGAAAGTACACTTATTCTATACCGTAAATAGATTTGCATGAAACTTGGAGGAAGTTTGACAAAAAATGCTTTCAGACCAGTTTATTTGAAATTAATTTTGTTTAAAACAGAAATATATCTGTTTTCTACACCAAATACTCTGTAGTAAACCGAGAATGATTTTTAACCATAACATAGGACATTTAAACTTCATTTGAAATATCAGAAAAGCATGTATTCCAGCATATAATTAACATTATATAGTAATACCTGGTAAATAACCCTGTGTATTTGGGGTTTTTACTATTGTTTTTCAATAATTAGAAAGGATCATGTGCTTTTGCTGTTGAAGAGGACTTTATTACACAACTAAAGTTCCTGGACATCCTTAAAGCACCAAGATGTTCACATATACATGTTATAATTAATGCTTGTTCCACATTGGAGCTGCCATTGGGCCCTGAGGTGAGCGTTCAATAGTTATATATTCCTCTGGGTTATCTATGGCCTGGTAATGTACCAACAGATCCTGAATTGCACGTTCTTCAACCTAAAGAAAGTTTAAGAACAGGCATGTGTTAAAAATGTTTAAAACCGACAACCTTTCAAGCAATTAATTAAATAAAAAAATATATATTTCTTCTAGTTTTGTACAACTATATAGGTATAGCTAAAGCATATTTTCTTCTGTTTTAAATATCGAAGGAAAGAGTAAGAATCACAATCAGGTTTTCACAGTCGTTTGTGTACCTACTGGGAAGAGTCACCCACTATATGTCCTGAAGACCACTGTCACCAGTACATATATCGATGGGATAGCCAAAACCTTATGGTCCTCATGGGAACAGGGGGTAAGGGGAAATAGTCCAATGAGGGCATCTATTCTGTTAGCAAATATATAAAAGGGGATTTCCTCATACTTTGGGGAGATTACAACTTGCTTACCTTCATGTCTTCAGAACAGGACGTTAAGGAAAATCTACCCAATGAGGCACACAGGCCAACCAAAAATTCACTGGGGTTTCAAGCTTTCTTTACCAGAAAAGAAAGTTTGGGCTTTAGATATGCTTTAACCAGTTCACTAGTAGCCTGTATGTACCCCTTGATTACTAGGTCATTTTTAGTTTTCAGTGCTGTGATAGTTTAACTAACAACTATTGACTCATGCAACACTGTATCCATTTGGGAATACTGTACCCTTTTGGGAAGAGGGGGGGGAAGAGAGAGAGAGAGAGAGAGAGAGAGAGAGAGAGAGAGAGAGAGAGAGTTTTCCTTACTTTCAGTTATTAAAACATGCCAGGACAGTACAAATACCCCCAAAATGATGACTTTTTGGAAAGTAGACACACCTAAGATCATTTTTGTAAATGAAAAAACATGGTGGTTTGAGGGGGTAAAATATAGGAGTTTAGTAACAGTTAACTAGATACAGCACATCAGGTCATACACATAGGGGTCAGGAGCGGAAGGGGTTAATGTACAGGTCATATACAGTGGCAGGATGGAGATGAAGAGGTTATTGTGCAGGTAAAGGGAGATGAAGGGTTAATATACAGGCCACAATACAGAGGCAGGCTGGAGATCAGTAGTTTAGGAGATGGGGAGTGAAAGGGTTAAAAAGGAACTTGGTCACTGAGAATCAAGGAAAGAATGAGCAGCTGCTGCTGACCCATTCACTGATTCTCCCATTTACAAATTACTAAAATTGTGTAAACAATAACATGTGACTGCTATAACTAGACATCACAGCAATCACATAGTACCGAGTGGCTGGGATCACCTTGGTACAGTGTCTCTGTGTACTGAGCTGCCTGAGGACAGTTCGGTACACCGAGACTAGAGGGCACAGAGCCATTTGTAGAAGGACGCCTTTAGATGTCATTCCAGAAATAGATGTCCACCTCCCCGCTGTTTTGTACAATATAATGGTAGGGTGGTAGTTAATACTGTATATGTCATTTTGCTTTAATTTCATATAAAACAGCCAACCTATCCAAAACTGTCAAGTGTTCTAGTGGTGCAGGAACATTAATTCACCTAATAGCTTGTAGTGCCTCTCAGGACTTTGAGAGGTAAACGTCTTGAGTTACCAGGACTGCATACCTGGGGAAGTCAGTATGAGGAGGCTCAGCTCTACTGTTTGACTTCTAGGTGGGCAAGAACCCCTTCAGCAGGGAGATCTTACCACTGGGATTCACAAGATACACAAAAGTCTAGTGGGAGACTTCACCTATCAACCTTCACTTATAACTGAAATATCACTATTAGGCCTCATTAACACTGATCAGAGCCGGACCGTACAGATCCGTGCAGCGTGCATGGCCGTATCAGACCACTCCCGGTAAGGACAGGTGCTGCGTGTAATCAGTGTGAATGAGGCCTTAGATGAGGGGTGCCCACAATTTTTTGTGTTAAGATCTACTTTTCAAATGACAAGCTACATGAGAGCTACCAACGAAAAAAAAACCTCCCTCGCTCTCTCTCCTGGCTGTCATTCCTAATTTTTTCTCTTGGCTGTCTCTCTTCGCTCTCTTGGCTGTCTCTCCTTGCTCTCTCCCCTGGCTGTCACTCCTCTCTCTCTTTCCTGGCTGTCTCTTCTCACGCTCTCTCTCCTGGCTGTCTCTCTTCTCTCTCTTGGCTGCCTCGCCTTGCTCTCTCTCCTGGCTGTCTTTCTTCGCTCTCTTGGCTGTCTCTCCTAAACTCGGGCTAATAGGTAATCATGTGTACACAGCTAAATAAATATACCAAAATGGAATAAAGGGGGCACCATTCACACCCTTCCTGATCTACCAGCATCAGCTGTGAGCGCTACAGGTAGATCACGATCTACCTAATGGGCACCCCTGCTGGACTGCCCCTTTAAAGTGTATGCATTGCCAAAGTTTTTTGTTTTGGATAGATTAGGAAAGGGTTAAACTCAGATTTTTTTTTACTGCCTGCGTCCTGCTGGGGAGATTTTCCTTTACTTCCCATCTTGGAGAAGCAGCAGGAAGTAAGAGGACATCTCTCTATTAATGAGTTCTCACCAGAACAGGTGTCCCCATTGGAATATTTCTCCTCACTTTTTTCTCATGACAACTCTAACATTTTGGATCTCTCAACAATTTCTGTCTTGGTCACAATGGCCCCCAGGAAAAGAGTTGTGAATTCTCTAGGGTGGGCACAGACAGGTCTAACCCTTCCCTACATTATCAAAAACTTTAAAACAAAAGTTTTGGCTTCACGTACATTTAAAGCCATGGTTTTACTTGTGCCATACTTGTGGGATAAGCACATGCATGGAATCAGATCAGGCAAATAATGGGCATACTGAGGGACACCATGACCAGCAGAAATTAAAATGTGAACATCTTCTTAATGTGGAGCCATAATAGTTATCTTTAATACCTGAATCAGTGCCAACGGCTTTTCCCGACTCCTTATAAGAGCAGCTTCCTGTTGCTTCTCCTCCTCCACAATGGCAGTAAAAGTGACAGGGACCACGGATGATTTGTTCTTGCTTAACGATGAAAGCCACGGGCTGCAAAGGTCATGAGGAAGGGTCATATCCCTGACATCCATGTTTAAAAGTGCTTCACATTTAAAAAGCGCATCAGATCTATAAAGCTACAAGCAATTATCTTGGATATGTATGTCACAGGATACAGTGCAGCATGAAAATACACTGCTCCTCTTACAATATATGCTCATTTCAAATAGTAGTCACAGCTATTATTCACTTAACAGTCTTGGAAATGCTTTCACAAGTATATGACAAGGCAAAAGACTAAAGGTGCCCATACACCTTACGATTATCGGACGAAACTTTTCGTCCGATGATCGAACCGTCGTACGATTTTCGTACGACGGCCCCATCCTGCCCCGATTATTGCAAGGTTCAATCAGCGGTAGTTAGAAAAAAACACCTGGACGACTTGCGGTAATTGACCGAAATTATTTTCGTTTGCGCATGCGCAGTGTTAATCGTACGACTTTTGACGGACGGAAACGCCACCAACCATGCGAACATCGTACGATCAACCAAAGTTTTCAAACATGCTTGACCGTCAAAAGTCGTACGATTGTACAGTACTATCGGTCGGGCACTCTATTCACACGTTACGATTGTCGTACGAAAAGTCGATCGCATACGATTATCGTACGATAATCGGAAGGTGTATGGGTACCTTAAGAGAACCCATAGAAATGTGATGACAGTGTTCCCCAGACTGAAGAACAAACTTGGATCTAAAGGAGGCCTCTGCTTTTGATGAGCAGTGGCCGTCAGCCCCACTCCTCTCCTTACTCCACAGCATGGCAACAAACATGATGTTCAGATGGGTGAGAAGGACTGGCTGCCTGCTGCGTGATACTGTTGTCTCCGGACAGTTGTAATATGTTGTATAGGACCATGTAATATTGGATTAGGGGTGGATTAGGTCTGCTAAAATATGCTTTTGTACCTCTTATCTATTTGCCCCAATACTCCAAATGTCAACTGTCAATTTGCAGTTAACATTGGGAGTCTGTTTTAAGCCTGGTTCATACAAATGGCCGGCCACTTCTGAAAAGCAACCTGCGGTGAGTCACTTATGAGAGGGAGGAACAGCAATGGCTTGTGTAAGGAGGAGGAGGCATTCAGGAGGTGATACTGCCACTGTGGAAATTGCATTTTTTTTTTTATTCCAAAAGGGATTTTACATCAAACTACTGCACTACAACCACGTTTGGCACACGGTTGCAACACTGTCCAATTCACCTCAATGGTTGTGTCTAGCAAGTGGCACCGTCTGATGAAAATGACATGCCGGCTAATGTTTGCTGCAACATGAAGCACTGTCCAGACGCAATGCTAACTTCTCAGTGAGCTGCGAAGGCTGAGGAGCAGTGAAAATGCAGATCAACTGCCTGTTTTAACTGCCCATTGGCAGTATTGGATTTTCCAACTTTCTTTCTCCAGTAGTGTTCAGTGGCAGGTTTAAAGTAGAACTCCAGAAATGTTTTTTATTAACCCTTGCAGGGGGACTACCCTCAGTGTCCTCACATCTATGCACAGTGTAAAGATGTGATTATTTACTGGACCTTAGACTGCTGCAGAGGAAGGAGAGAGACATTCCATGGACCGTTCTCAGAAGAAGCCGGTTCGGAGCTTCGGGTGAGTATATCTTTGTTTTTTTTGTAACCTAGACACAAACGAGCAGTTAACCCTTGCAGTGCAGGGGTAGCTCCACTGGAAGGGTTAATTAAAAAAAAATCCTGCAATTCTCCTTTAAAGTACACCTAAACCCAATCACTAAAATCCCACAAGCATCTACAGGTAAATGTCATTTCAAAAGTCATATTCAATATTCTAAAAGCTTCACTTTGCAATTAAGAAATCATGGTAATCCTGCTATGGGCAGTTAAAACAGGCAGTTGATCCGCATTTTCACTGCTCCTTATAGTTCAGCTGCTTCCTGTTTTAGGGTGACAACGTTCTGCCCCCCAATTTCACATTGTGCTCTTGACTTGTCACCCAGTCACATGGGCTTTCAATGGAGGCTACAAGTGGCCACTTTAACACTCATTATGCAGGCATGGTCCATTGTCATCACCATCAGAAAACATGCAGCCATTGTTGGAGGGCGTGCATGTTGATAAAAAGTGTCTCCTAAAAGGCTGCAGGTGATCAGCAGCTCTGAGATGCACTAAAGGATGAAACACAGGTAAAAACACATTTTGAAAGAGGCAATAATTGTTGTATAGTAAACTAAATGTCATTCAGTTAGAAGTTACACCTACTTACAGTGTGAATACAGGCTGTTGGCTAGCACAGATAGTTCTTATATTAGCCAGGTTCATTTGTAAGACCTAAAACAGGTACACAATTGTTGTGTTACAGTATTTTAGGGCTTACTTAATGAGGTCTTATACTGAGCTTTATAAATAGATTGGTCCAATTGTGTGTATATGCATCACTTAGGGGAACAAAGTGTATACATTGCATTACTTTGAAGTGTCTTGCTGTGGCACATCACATTTCAGCTTGGCTTCCTGGATCACCGCTTCAGGGGGTTTCCTGATGATAGAAAATAAGTAAATACTACAGTATCAATACTGACATTAAACGGTTTTCCATCATTCAGTGTTATAACTTGTAGTCACAAACATGTCACCTTAAATACTAACAAATAGGAAAATTCTTGGAAGTATGGATGCATCGATACCGGTTTTTCGGTATCGAGTAGCAATATTTTTCCCGGTATAAGGAGATACTGAATACCGATACCGGCATCCCAGGGTACCATGGACCCAATTCTATCGAAAGAACATCGGCTTCACGCGATCTGAGGCAGCCTGGCTTCCTGACCTATCAAGAAGCCATGCAGCACCTTATGACCCGGGTCCCGGCTTCCTGATTGGCTATGAAGTCAGCGTCACCTGTTACTAGGCAGCCTGGCTTTCTGACCAATCAGGAAGCCGGGAGGTGAGTCATGATGTGCTACCCGGCTTCCTGATTGGCCTGGAAGCTGGTTCCATGCTCCCTTGATGCACTGCTGGTCACAAGGAATCCTTTTCTGACGGAAGTTCCGGTATCGGGGAAAGTATCGGAGCATTTGGGCGCGTACGAGTACTCTCCCAAATAATTGGTATCGGCACAGATACTAGTATCTGCCGATAACCGATACCAGTGGAAGCCTTGCACGTACCCTAGTATTTACGAACGTTGAAGGGTAGCTTTTACCTCCTGTTTTTACCCTTTTGCTGCCAGAGTAATTTTTGCATTTTCTGTACAAAGGATAAATACACCCTTTAAGGCCTAAAGATTACTTAACCCCCCCCCCAAGTTATATATTTTCTGAAAGCAGAGACCCTGTAGAATGAAATGGTGGTAGTTGCAATGTTTAATGTCACACGATATTAGCACAACTATTTATCAAACCCACATTTTCTGTAAAAAATACACTTAAGTTAACTTTTTTGTACATAAACACAATTTTTTGGGATAAATTATATACAAGGTTGCATCCAAGTAAACAGATACCAAACATGTCAAGCTTCAAAATTGCTTGCGCCCATGAAATGGCAAAAAACTACGGCACCCAAAAATGTCTATAGGCAACCCTAGGAGGGGCAGCAAAGCCAGGGAAACATGGCAGGGGAGCGCACATGTCAGAGCTTCATAGCCGCCAAATCACTTCTAGTCTTTTTTAGAAGGAAGTTTATAATGGCAGCCCTAATATTTCTCTGACAACAGATTTACTTATGCCTTTACAGATGTTTTCAATATAACTGATTTGTTTAGCCAGTTAAAACCCACGACACACATACAATACACTCGAGTACCACCGGGTTGAGTTCTGCATCTTTAAACATTAGTTCACTAACACTAGTGGAGACATCTACTTTATATTTAAAATGTATTTTGTTATCTGAAGGTGATCTCCCCCTTTGGGTTTTGAGAGAGCACTTTCACATCCATTCACAACTAGACCGAGCGCAACTTATTTGCCACATAATAGACTCACTTATACACAAAGTTGCTGCTGGTCTATTTAGTTATTTAGATTTCGAGTCACTCATTCCCAGCGCAGTGATTTTTGATTATTAAGATTTACTTTAAAGCCCAAATCAAGTCAAAGGGGTTGATTTACTAACCTTATAAACACGCCACGAACAAGTATACACCTCTGTAGTGTGTTCCCTCCCAGCATGATCTATTGGTGGAATCTAGACACCTTTGTAGTGTGTACACACCCAGCAGGTGTGTTGTGCAAAGCCCTGCATGAATTACAAGGTGATGTTGTGTAAATTAGCTCTACATTGTGTTGCTTGCGTTGATGAATGCAGGAATGTAAATGCATGAGCTAACCATTTTTGTCTAAACTGTGAAGCAGCATTATATATGCATCATGTGCATGATTTTTCCATATATGGCATTAGTGGAAATATGCTTTTAGAGACTTTTTGGTTGATAAATACGTTTTTCTGTGTAAAAATCACACGCACCTAGTGCATGCGTGTGTTTAGGTTAGTAAATCACCCCCAAAATGTCAGTTTTGGACAGAGAGTGGAAGGGTTTCAATCTGTCGGGTTTAGCATGCTGTCCCATCTCCCCACTGAGGAGATTCCACTGCATTTCTTGTTCTGACACCAGTCACCTCAACAGAAGTTGGACTTACCCCCTAAAATTAAAGTATGTGGCACTGTAACCCTCCCCTTTAACAAAAGTTAAGCATTCTTTACATTTCCTTTATTTAGGCTTTTTTTTTTTTTACTTTTTCAGTGCGGCCCTAGGCCAACTCTCCTAGGCAAAAATGACATTTAATTTCCCTCCTGCAGCTTCCTGGGATACCAAGGTCCAGGGCCTTCTCTATAGTGAGACAGCCTGATGCGGCCTCCCACTGGGTTACGTTGGGGGGGCATTGGCAGCAGACACACCTATCTGTCAAGGTTGCTAAGTGCTCAAAAAAATTATAATTTGGGAGGGTGAAGTGAAAAATGTTATATCGTAGTATAGGTGAGAATCTGGTTGACACAGGGAGAAATAAAAATCTGATAGGATCTAGCCCACCATTATATTAGAAACACTTTTTTTATAGGTGTCTGCCAGTAGGGAGATATGGATTATATACACACACACACACACACACACACTAATAATAGTAACAAAATATATATTTACACCCAACTGTGATTAATTCTTGATACAAAAAGCAGAGCATAACACCAAATAAATTAGGTATTTCCTGTCATTATGTCAAGCTCAAACATAAGGACCAGGCTTTGCTCATGCTCACATTACCTGCTGTTTACAAGCCACCTTAAAATAGAATATACAGTAATACCTTGGTTTACAAGTAACTTGGTTTGAGAGCGTTTTGCAAGACAAGCAAACATTTCTGAAAAATGTTTGCCTTGATATACAAGCAAATGTCTTGCAATAAGAGCAAAATTTTGTAGAAAAGCGCCACCCGAATAAGGCTTTAGCAGTGCGAGCGATGAGACTGTTTAACGACAATGCAATGTCACATTGAATAGATTCCTTGTTAAGGTTTCGCAAAATGAAAAAGATTCCATTGAGTCAAGAGATAGCAGTGATTCCATTAGTGACAGTGAAAGTCGTCCTACAAAATAATCCTCCTCTCTTTTGTCCCCCTCACACCAGCCACGAAGGTACTGGTGGTAATTGGTTTATTTTTCTTTATATTTTGTACAGTATTATATTACAGTACAGTATTGTAATGATTTTATATGAATATTTTTGGGTTGTGGAACGATTCATCTGAATTTCCATTATTTCCTATGGGGAAATTCACTTTGATATACAAGCGCTTTGGATTACAAGCATGCTTCCAGAACGAATTATGCTCTTAAACCAAGGTATTACTGTATCATATAAAAATGAGCTATGCCTGCAGTCAGCAACTGAGTCACGCTGTACTTCTGGTCTACAGAATGCATTTACACTTCATCTGCTACAGGCACTGCCCCATCAGGAACACAGACACTGGTATTTTGTCCATGTTACATATGGAGTGAGCTCCTTTCACAGCAGGATGAACAGAGATCTCACAACTGTGTGTCGAAGTACTTGTAGTGTTCACAGTGAGCACTAAACAGGATTATTCCCTAACCCTACAGTATAGAACTTCTCCGACAACCTTTACATACTTCAGAGCTCCATAAGGACATTCTAACCAGACTGACAACAAATAATGTTATTTTCCTTTTTCTCAACTTTCCTAAATATCTAAAAGCATGCGCAAGTGTACAAGTACAACTTAATACAAACTAATGATTTCCAATAACATTCCTACAAATTAGCCTCCAGTATATAACACCTGACACAGAGGAAAATGTATACTACACCTGAAGCCAAAACTCTTTCATTTGTATTGGATAGAGTGGAGAGATTAGAACCCCTAAGCCCTGATTCACAATGGAATCGGCCTGTGTACGGCTGTGTAGTCATAGAGAAGGACGGGGGCTGCGTACTAATCACACGCAGCACCTGTCCTTCCCGGAAGCTGCTCGGTACGGCCCTGCATGCAGCACGGAGCTGTACGTGCGGGCCGATTCCAGTGTGAATGAGGGCTAATGGGGACACTAGCATTGGTGACCCTGCTGACTAGCAGGAATTTCCCTCCACTTCCTGTTGTGGCTATCAGATAAGAAGTGAAGAGAGCTCTCTCAAATGGGACACGGATGGCAAAAAAAGCTGACAGGTTGTTTATAACCCTCACTTACTCTATTCGAAACCAAAACAAAAATGTTTTGGCTTCAGTTCTACTGTAAACTGAGCTGTATCTGACTGCATGGTTGCTTTGGGTCAGTGACTCAATATAATGAAGGCACTGGGTCAACATTAAAAAACAGGCAACTAACCTTTTCAGAAAAAGGGCAGCAATAACTTGGTAGGTCACAAACAACAGGTTCATTTTATTGTATTCTTTTTTTTTATTTGGCAGCTCCAGGTACTGCCCTGCTGAAGCCCTGTCAGGGATCTCAGCATAGTCATGGTGTGTGATGTAAAGGAGGTAGGGGTACCCTGCATGCACAAATCTGCTGTCATTGCCAATACATCCTCCAGCAATTATTTCCACCCATGTAAAGATGCTTGGGGCCCCCTTCATGCTCCAATCAACCGTCATTGCCAGTACACCCTCCAGCACTTACGTCCACCCATGTAAAGGAGGTTGGGGCCCCCTGCATGCTCCAATCTGCTTTGATTGCCAGGGCACCCTCCAGCATTTACTTCCACCATATAGAAGAGATAGGGATCCCCTGCATGCTCCAATCTGCCGTCATTGCCAGTGCACCCTCCAGCACTTACTTCCACCCACACAGTCAAGATGGAGGGGAACACTTGGTGACGATATGATATGATTTTATGTAATCGTGCCCAATTTCAGTGCCCGCAAGAACTCATCAGTTGCTAAGATAGTCCATCATTTTAGGCATTACATTATATTTGCAAAATATGGCAAATATGTCACTGAAACTCTAAAATAAAATGGCTTTACACTTCTTCCAACTGTACTTTTACACAAGTCCCTACTGGAGTCTCATTTTGTT